TTGGTGTGTGTGTGAGAGTGTGGTGAGGGAGTGTGTTGGTGTGTGTGTGAGAGTGTGGTGAGGGGGAGTGTGTTGGGGTGTGTGTGAGAGTGTGGTGAGGGAGTGTGTTGGTGTGTGTGTGAGAGTGTGGTGAGGGAATGTGTTGGTGTGTGTGTGAGAGTGTGGTCAGGGAGTGTGTTGGTGTGTGTGTGAGAGTTGTGGTGAGTGTGTTGGTGTGTGTGTGAGAGTGTGGTGAGGGAGTGTGTTGGTGTGTGTGTGAGCGTGTGGAGAGCGTGTTGGCGTGTGTGTGAGAGTTGTGGTGAGTGTGTTGGTGTGTGTGTGAGAGTGTGGTGAGGGAGTGTGTTGGTGTGTGTGTGAGAGTGTGTTGAGGGAGTGTGCTGGTGTGTGTGTGAGAGTTGTGGTGAGTGTGTTGGTGTGTGTGTGAGAGTGTGGTGAGGGTGTTGGTGTGTGTGTGAGAGTGTGGTGAGGGTGAGTGTGTTGGTGTGTGTGAGAGTGTGGTGTGAGGGTGAGTGTGTTGGTGTGTGTGTGAGAGTGTGGTGAGGGTGTTGGCGTGTGTGTGAGAGTGTGGTGAGGGTGAGTGTGTTGGTGTGTGTGTGAGAGTGTGGTGATTGTGTTGGTGTGTGTGTGAGAGTGTGGTGAGCGTGTTGGTGTGTGTGTGAGAGTGTGGTGAGGGTGAGCGTGTTGGTGTTTGTGTGAGAGTGTGGTGAGGGTGAGCGTGTTGGTGTGTGTGTGAGAGTGTAGTGAGGGTGTTGGTGTGTGTGTGAGAGTGTGGAGAGGGTGAGTGTGTTGGTGTGTGTGTGAGAGTGTGGTGAGGGGGAGTGTGTTGGTGTGTGTGTGAGAGTGTGGTGAGGGTGAGTGTGTTGGTGTGTGTGTGTGAGAGTGTGGTGAGGGAGTGTGTTGGTGTGTGTGTGAGAGTGTGGTGAAGGAGTGTGTTGGTATGTGTGTGAGAGTTGTGGTTAGTGTGTTTGTGTGTGTGTGAGAGTGTGGTGAGGGAGTGTTTTGGTGTGTGTGTGAGAGTGTGGTGAGGGAGTGTGTTGGTGTGTGTGTGAAAGTTGTGGTGAGTGTGTTGGTGTGTGTGTGAGAGTGTGGTGAGGGAGTGTGTTGGTGTGTGTGTGAGAGTGTGGTGAGGGGGAGTGTGTTGGTGTGTGTGTGAGGGTGTGGTGAGGGAGTGTGTTGGTGTGTGTGTGAGAGTGTGGTGAGTGAGTGTGTTGGTGTGTGTGTGAGAGTGTGGTCAGGGAGTGTGTTGGTGTGTGTGTGAGAGTTGTGGTGAGTGTGTTGGTGTGTGTGTGAGAGTGTGGTGAGGGAGTGTGTTGGTGTGTGTGTGAGAGTGTGGTGAGGGAGTGTGCTGGTGTGTGTGTGAGAGTTGTGGTGAGTGTGTTGGTGTGTGTGTGAGAGTGTGGTGAGGGTGTTGGTGTGTGTGTGAGAGTGTGGTGAGGGTGAGTGTGTTGGTGTGTGTGAGAGTGTGGTGTGAGGGTGAGTGTGTTGGTGTGTGTGTGAGAGTGTGGTGAGGGTGTTGGCGTGTGTGTGAGAGTGTGGTGAGGGTGAGTGTGTTGGTGTGTGTGTGAGAGTGTGGTGAGGGAGTGTGTTGGTGTGTGTGTGAGAGTGTGGTGAGCGTGTTAGTGTGTGTGTGACAGTGTGGTGAGGGTGAGGGTGTTGGTGTGTGTGAGAGTGTGGTGAGGGCGAGTGTGTTGGTGTGTGTGAGAGTGTGGTGAGGGTGAGTGTGTTGGTGTGTGTGTGAGAGTGTGATGAGGGTGAGCGTGTTGGTGTGTGTGAGAGTGTGGTGAGGGTGTTGGTGTGTGTGTGAGAGTGTGGTGAGGGAGTGTGTTGGTGTGTGTGTGAGAGTGTGATGAGGGTGAGCGTGTTGGTGTGTGTGAGAGTGTGGCGTGGTGAGTGTGTTGGTGTGTGTGAGAGTGTAGTGAGGGTGTTGGTGTGTGTGTGAGAGTGTGGTGAGGGTCTTGGTGTGTGTGTGAGAGGGTGGTGAGGGGGAGTGTGTTGGTGTGTGTGTGAGAGTGTGGTGAGTGTGTTGGTGTGTGTGTGAGAGTGTGGTGAGGGTGAGTGTGTTGGTGTGTGTGTGAGAGTGTGGTGAGTGTGTTGGTGTGTGTGTGAGAGTGTGGTGAGGGTGAGCGTGTTGGTGTGTGTGTGAGAGTGTGGTAAGGGGGAGTGTGTTGGTGTGTGTGTGAGAGTTGTGGTGAGTGTGTTGGTGTGTGTGTGAGAGTGTGGTGAGGGAGTGTGTTGGTGTGTGTGTGAGAGTGTGTGAGGGAGTGTGTTGGTGTGTGTGTGAGAGTTGTGGTTAGTGTGTTTGTGTGTGTGAGAGTGTGGTGAGGGAGTGTGTTGGTGTGTGTGTGAGAGTGTGGTGAGGGAGTGTGTTGGTGTGTGTGTGAAAGTTGTGGTGAGTGTGTTGGTGTGTGTGTGAGAGTGTGGTGAGGGAGTGTGTTGGTGTGTGTGTGAGAGTGTGGTGAGGGGGAGTGTGTTGGGGTGTGTGTGAGAGTGTGGTGAGGGAGTGTGTTGGTGTGTGTGTGAGAGTGTGGTGAGGGAATGTGTTGGTGTGTGTGTGAGAGTGTGGTCAGGGAGTGTGTTGGTGTGTGTGTGAGAGTTGTGGTGAGTGTGTTGGTGTGTGTGTGAGAGTGTGGTGAGGGAGTGTGTTGGTGTGTGTGTGAGCGTGTGGAGAGCGTGTTGGCGTGTGTGTGAGAGTTGTGGTGAGTGTGTTGGTGTGTGTGTGAGAGTGTGGTGAGGGAGTGTGTTGGTGTGTGTGTGAGAGTGTGTTGAGGGAGTGTGCTGGTGTGTGTGTGAGAGTTGTGGTGAGTGTGTTGGTGTGTGTGTGAGAGTGTGGTGAGGGTGTTGGTGTGTGTGTGAGAGTGTGGTGAGGGTGAGTGTGTTGGTGTGTGTGAGAGTGTGGTGTGAGGGTGAGTGTGTTGGTGTGTGTGTGAGAGTGTGGTGAGGGTGTTGGCGTGTGTGTGAGAGTGTGGTGAGGGTGAGTGTGTTGGTGTGTGTGTGAGAGTGTGGTGATTGTGTTGGTGTGTGTGTGAGAGTGTGGTGAGCGTGTTGGTGTGTGTGTGAGAGTGTGGTGAGGGTGAGCGTGTTGGTGTTTGTGTGAGAGTGTGGTGAGGGTGAGCGTGTTGGTGTGTGTGTGAGAGTGTAGTGAGGGTGTTGGTGTGTGTGTGAGAGTGTGGAGAGGGTGAGTGTGTTGGTGTGTGTGTGAGAGTGTGGTGAGGGGGAGTGTGTTGGTGTGTGTGTGAGAGTGTGGTGAGGGTGAGTGTGTTGGTGTGTGTGTGTGAGAGTGTGGTGAGGGAGTGTGTTGGTGTGTGTGTGAGAGTGTGGTGAGGGTGTTGGTGTGTGTGTGAGAGTGTGGTGAGGGTGTTGGTGTGTGTGTGAGAGTGTGGTGAGGGAGTGTGTTGGTGTGTGTGTGAGAGTGTGGTGAGGGAGTGTGTTGGTGTGTGTGTGAAAGTTGTGGTGAGTGTGTTGGTGTGTGTGTGAGAGTGTGGTGAGGGAGTGTGTTGGTGTGTGTGTGAGAGTGTGGTGAGGGGGAGTGTGTTGGTGTGTGTGTGAGAGTGTGGTGAGGGAGTGTGTTGGTGTGTGTGTGAGAGTGTGATGAGGGTGAGCGTGTTGGTGTGTGTGAGAGTGTGGTGTGGTGAGTGTGTTGGTGTGTGTGTGAGAGTGTGGTGAGGGTGAGTGTGTTGGTGTGTGTGAGAGTGTGGTGTGGTGAGTGTGTTGGTGTGTGTGTGAGAGTGTGGCGAGGGTGAGTGTGTTGGTGTGTGTGAGAGTGTGGTGTGGTGAGTGTGTTCGTGTGTGTGTGAGAGTGTGGGGAGGGTGAGTGTGTTGGTGTGTGTGAGAGTGTGGTGTGGTGAGTGTGTTCGTGTGTGTGTGAGAGTGTGGGGAGGGTGAGTGTGTTGGTTGTGTGTGAGAGTGTGATGTGGTGAGTGTGTTGGTGTGTGTGTGAGAGTGTGGTGAGGTTGAGTGTGTTGGTGTGTGTGAGAGTGTGGTGTGGTGAGTGTGTTCGTGTGTGTGTGAGAGCGTGGTGAGGGTGTTGGTGTGTGTGTGAGAGTGTGGTGAGGGTGTTAGTGTGTGTGTGAGAGTGTGGTGAGGGTGAGCGTGTTTGTGTGTGTGTGACAGTGTGTGAGTGTGGGTGAGTGTGTTGTGTGTGAGAGTGTGGTGAGGGGGAGAGTGTTGGTGTGTGTGTGAGAGTGTGGTGAGCGTGTTGGTGTGTGTGTGAGAGTGTGTGAGTGTGGGTGAGTGTGTTGTGTGTGAGAGTGTGGTGAGGGTGTTTGTGTGTGTGTGAGATTGTGGTGAGGGAGCGTGTTGGTGTGTGTGAGAGTGTGTGAGTGTGGGTGAGTGTGTTGGTGTGTGTGTGTGAGAGTGTGTGAGTGTGGGTGAGTGTGTTGTGTGTGAGAGTGTGGTGAGCGTGTTGGTGTGTGTGTGAGAGTGTGTGAGTGTGGGTGAGTGTGTTGGTGTGTGTGTGAGAGTGTGTAAGTGTGGGTGAGTGTGTTGTGTGTGAGAGTGTGGTGAGGGTGTTGGTGTGTGTGTGAGTGTGTGTGAGAGTGTGTGAGTGTGGGTGAGTGTGTTGTGTGTGTGAGAGTGTGTGAGTGTGGGTGAGTGTGTTGTGTGTGAGAGTGTGTGAGTGTGGGTGAGTGTGTTGTGTGTGAGAGTGTGTGAGTGTGTGTGTGAGAGTGTGTGAGAGTGTGGTGAGTGTGTTGTGTGTGAGAGTGTGGTGAGGGGGAGAGTTTAGCTGCGTGAAATCAGGCGGCCGCTGCCACTTGGAGATCATAACAACAATGCGGGTGGGGCGGGTGGGGCGGGTGAGGGGGGGCGGGTGAGGGGGGGCGGGTGAGGGGGGGCGTGGGGGGGGGGGCGTGGGGGGGGGCGAGCGGGGGCGTTGGGGGGGGGCGTGGGGGGGACGAGCCGGGCACCACCGGCCCCGCTGCTTTAACCTCGGGGCCGTGAGCGGCACTGAGAGACGAGGAGGAGGTGGAGGAAGAGGTGGAGGAGGAGGTGGTATCTCCGTGTCGCTGTGTCAGCCTCACGTGGGTAGTGGCACGGGGAGACGAGGGGGAGGAGGTGTCAGGATGTGTCCCCGTGTCTTCCTCACGACGCCACCGACAATGCTGCCCTCCAGATCGTGGGTGACACTGGGAGACGGGGAGGAAGACGAGGACGCGGAGAAGGACGAGGTGGACGAGGTGGACGAGGAGGAGGAGGCGTCCCCGTGTCTCCATGCTGCGACACATCAAGAGGAGGGCCTCGGAGCCGGCCGTGGCTGGCGGCTCCGAGGCCCCGGAGGAGCCGGAGGGCCTCTCGGGCCCGGGGGCACTGGGAGGGCCAGCGAGGGCTGGGGCCCGGGCCGCCGGGAGGGCCCCGGTCAAGGCCCCGCGCGTGGCTCTTCTGGGCCTCCCCGGCGAGGAATTCGTCACCTCGCGGAGGCCACGCGGCCCCTCACCCGGCCCGGACGAGGGCAGCGGCGGCAGAGAGGAGGAGGAGGAGGGTGGCGGTGGCGAGGGGACGTCCCTGGGGGAGATCGAACTCCTCGGCGCGTCCACGTGGATGCCGGGAGCTCCAGGGGCCTGCACCCTGGACTCCAGCCTCCTCCGCGGTGATGTAACAACGCCAATAACAACGATTCATACCCGGAGTAGGCAAAGTAATGAACCGGCCGATTTTGTGTCGTGAAACCCTCCACCACCGCCCCATCCTTCAACTTAAAAATGTATTTACGAACCCGAATGGGAAACCTACTACGTGTTGAAAAGAAATACACTGACATCGATATTATTCAAAAAGCAGGCTTTAGCCTTTCTGGCAATAAATCAATAGCTAGCTATTTAGCGTTTGAACATCTTAACACGTCTTGGTTATTGCCAGAAAGGGTAACGCCTATTCCTCTTTTCATAATTTTGACACTGGCTAAAAGGTCCCAAAGATATGCATAATATTGTTATGGAAAGACTCGCCCCCGCCATAGAAATGTGGAATTGCTCCGTAGGGCTGTGGACGGCAGATGAGCGCCAATGCCTCAATGCCCAGTTGAGCAGCAGCAGGAAGAGAAGCTTGAGCCGAGTGGCCGCTGTCGATGTTGAGACCAGAGTCGACGAGAAGTTTACTCACAGCCTGAGCGTGCACGTCATGGGATGGGGGTTTATGCATTCAAGAGAATCATACTTGTGGTGGGTAGGTGGCCGAGTGGTTGGGGTGGGTGGGTGAGTGGTTGGGTGGGTGGGTGAGTGGTTGGGTGGGTGGGTGGGTGAGTGGTTGGGTGGGTGGGTGGGTGAGTGGTTGGGTGGGTGGTGGGTGAGTGGTTGGGTGGGTGGGTGGGTGAGTGGTTGGGTGGGTGGTTGGGTGGGTGGTTGGGTGGGTGGTTGGGTGGGTGAGTGGTTGGGTGGGTGAGTGGTTGGGTGGGTGGGTTGGCTAGCGGGGAGCGGTCGTGTAGTGGTTAGCGCGCCGCGCTACGAACCTGGCGACTCGAGTTTGATTTCTGCTCACGGCCAACATCAGTGACGATTATCTGAATCGGTCCTGGGCGTCCCCTAGGTAGACTCAGCCTAAAATAAGTACCTAGTGCGGTGTGTACACATCGCCACTAGGGAGACAAAGGCGGCCGGGCTGGTTGCTGGCCACACCCCCCCCCCCCTCGTGTGTCGTGCTGCCCTGAAATAGGTGTTCGCTAACAGCACTGGATCGGTGAGTGGGTGAGTCGGTGTTTGTGAGTGGGTTAGTGGATGTGTGGGTGGGTGAGGTTGGAGGGTGGATGAGTGGTTGGTGGGTGAGTGGGTGGGCAAGTGGGTGATCAGTGTGTGAGTGAATAGGTGAGTGAATTGAGTGTGTGTGTGTAAATGAGTGAGTGAACTGAGTGTGTGTGTGTGTAAATGGGTGAGTGAATTGAGTGTGTGTGTGTGTAAATGGGTGAGTGAATGGGTGAGTGAATTGAGTGTGTGTGTGTAAATGGGTGAGTGAATTGAGTGTGTGTGTGTAAATGGGTGAGTGAATGAGTGTGTGTGTGTAAATGGGTGAGTGAATGAGTGTGTGTGTGTAAATGGGTGAGTGAATTGAGTGTGTGTGTGTAAATGGGTGAGTGAATTGAGTGTGTGTGTGTAAATGGGTGAGTGAATGAGTGTGTGTGTGTAAATGGGTGAGTGAATGAGTGAGTGTGTGTAAATGAGTGAGTGAACTGAGTGTGTGTGTGTGTAAATGGGTGAGTGAATTGAGTGTGTGTGTGTGTAAATGGGTGAGTGAATGGGTGAGTGAATTGAGTGTGTGTGTGTAAATGGGTGAGTGAATTGAGTGTGTGTGTGTAAATGGGTGAGTGAATGAGTGTGTGTGTGTAAATGGGTGAGTGAATGAGTGTGTGTGTGTAAATGGGTGAGTGAATTGAGTGTGTGTGTGTAAATGGGTGAGTGAATGAGTGTGTGTGTGTAAATGGGTGAGTGAATGAGTGTGTGTGTGTAAATGGGTGAGTGAATGAGTGAGTGTGTGTAAATGAGTGAGTGAACTGAGTGTGTGTGTGTGTAAATGGGTGAGTGAATTGAGTGTGTGTGTGTAAATGGGTGAGTGAATGGGTGAGTGAATTGAGTGTGTGTGTGTAAATGGGTGAGTGAATTGAGTGTGTGTGTGTAAATGGGTGAGTGAATGAGTGTGTGTGTGTAAATGGGTGAGTGAATGAGTGTGTGTGTGTAAATGGGTGAGTGAATGAGTGTGTGTGTGTAAATGGGTGAGTGAATGAGTGTGTGTGTGTAAATGGGTGAGTGAATTGAGTGTGTGTAAATGGGTGAGTGAATGAGTGTGTGTGTGTAAATGAGTGAGTGAATGGGTGAGTTAATTCAGTGTGTGTGTGTGTAAATGAGTGAGTGAATTGAGTGTGTGTGTGTAAATGGGTGAGTGAATTGAGTGTGTGTGTGTATGTGTGAGTGAATGAGTGTGTGTGTGTGTAAATGGGGTGAGTGAATGAGTGTGTGTGTGTAAATGGGTGAGTGAATGAGTGTGTGTGTGTAAATGGGTGAGTGAATGAGTGAGTGAATTGAGTGTGTGTGTGTAAATGGGTGAGTGAATTGAGTGTGTGTGTGTATGTGTGAGTGAATGAGTGTGTGTGTGTGTAAATGGGTGAGTGAATGAGTGTGTGTGTGTAAATGGGTGAGTGAATGAGTGTGTGTGTGTAAATGGGTGAGTGAATGAGTGAGTGAATTGAGTGTGTGTGTGTAAATGGGTGAGTGAATTGAGTGTGTGTGTGTAAATGGGTGAGGTAAATGGGTGAGTGAATGAGTGTGTGTGTGTAAATGGGTGAGTAAATGGGTGAGTGAATGAGTGTGTGTGTGTAAATGGGTGAGTGAATGGGTGAGTGAATTGAGTGTGTGTAAATGAGTTAGTGAATTGAGTGTGTGTGTGTAAATGGGTGAGTGAATGGGTGAGTGAATTTGAGTGTGTGTGTAAATGGGTGAGTGAATGGGTGAGTGAATGAGTGTGTGTGTGTAAATGGGTGAGTGAATGATGTGACGAGCGAGTCGGTGACCGGGTTACCTTGGGGCCATTCGCCTGCTGCCAGTGGGGGGCGATGATCGCCGCCGCTGCTGCTGCGGCTGCATCCCAACGGAGCCATTCGCGGCGTCATTTTTCACGTCTGTGAACATTTGGACCGTGGCGGCTGCACGTCGTGTGAGTGAAGCAGACGGCGCGTGCGTAGGTCGCTGTGGTGACACGGTTGACACCGCCGCTACCAGGTAAGGCCCGCTGAGCGATATGGCTCTTCTTCAGAAGCGACCTGGCGGTCACAAATGATAGCTCAACGAACTCGCTTGTCACGTGGGAATGTACAGCAGTCAAATACTCGAAAGGCGTGATGTTGATTCTCAACGTGAAGGGAAAACCCCGGAGAAAAACCCACGCGACCACGGGGAGAGAGAGAGACACGCAAACTCCAAACATACAGCAGCAGGCGTCAGGGTTGGGATCGAACCCACGACCTCCTGTATACACAGCGAGGTAGTCAACATCTCCGAGCCGTGACCACTCCGTGACAAGCGGCGCGTGATGCATTCTGTCGTCGAACCGAATCATCGCCGAATTAGAATCACGCGCACGGTTTGGCCTGTGGCCAAATCTCCCTGAACGGGGCGCGACCGCGAGCCGGGCGGCAGCGACGCGCCGCGTGGCGGCCTCAGATCCTCCAAGCGCTGCGCGTGGAGGTGGCGGCAGCAGCAGCGAGGAGGAGGAGCCGTACCCCGGTTCGTACCCCGGTTCGTGCCCCGGTTCGTACCCCGGTTCGTACCCCGGTTCGCCAGTGCGGCAAAGTGTGAACTTGTCGCCCTTGTGAACGGGGATCAAGTGCTGCTGCTGCTCGCGCAAGCCGTGGGCGCTCTCCGGGTGCTCGGATTTCCTCCCCCCACGTGAATAATAAAAACATCTTGGCATCAAAACCCAATGAATCAGCAGGGCCCTGAATAGGTCAATGATAATTATTGTGAGTGGATGGGTTGTGAGTGGATGGATTGTGAGTGGATGATTGTGAGTGGATGGATTGTGAGTGGATGGCTTGTGAGTGGATGATTGTGGCTTGTGAGTGGATGGATTGTGAGTGGATGGATTGTGAGTGGATGATTGTGGCTTGTGAGTGGATGGATTGTGAGTGGATGGATTGTGAGTGGACGGATTGTGAGTGGACGGATTATGAGTGGATGGATTGTGAGTGGATGATTGTGGCTTGTGAGTGGATGGATTGTGAGTGGATGGATTGTGAGTGGATGATTGTGGCTTGTGAGTGGATGGATTGTGAGTGGATGTATTGTGAGTGGATGGATTGTGAGTGGATGGATTGTGAGTGGATGGATTGTGAGTGGATGATTGTGGCTTGTGAGTGGATGGATTGTGAGTGGATGATTGTGAGTGGATGGATTGTGAGTGGATGGATTGTGAGTGGATGATTGTGGCTTGTGAGTGGATGGATTGTGAGTGGATGATTGTGAGTGGATGGATTGTGAGTGGATGGATTGTGAGTGGATGATTGTGGCTTGTGAGTGTATGGATTGTGAGTGGATGATTGTGAGTGGATGGATTGTGAGTGGATGGATTGTGAGTGGATGATTGTGGCTTGTGAGTGGATGTGTAATGCGAGCGTAAACGGGCTCGCTGGATGTGACGTAACAAGTGGGAGGAGTTAGGGTCACGTGGGGAGAGAGCTTTTAAGGACAGGAACCGGAAGGGTTCGAGGAGAGAGTCAGAGTAGAGAGAGAAGGAGGCCACGCGGGGCAGGAGGAGGAAAGTGGTGCGATCGCCACAAGTCGGAGACTCGGCACCGTCGGCCAGCGGTGTCCGGGCAGAGAGGCGACAGAGAGCCAGCAGCGGGGCTGCATAGCGAGCGGCGGTGGGGCTGCACATTGGGCAGCAGTGGGGCTGCAGAACGAGCAGCAGTGGGACTGCATGGTGGAGCAGCAACGGGGCTGCAGGAGCGACGGGCAGCGGTGTGGCTGCCGAGCGGGAGACAGAGGAGACACTGAGCGAGGACGCCGAGCGGGCAAGATTGTACGAACCAATAACGGACAACGGAGACAGACCCGGTGCAAGAGTCCTCTATTACACTGGTGTCAGAAGTGAAACGGCATGTCAAAA